CCCCCCCTCTCTGCCCTAATCAGTGGACACTAAACCGAGAATAACAAAGTTCTTGAGAGGAGGGGGGAGGGGGAGGCGACAGGGGGGACCGAGCAGATTTTTGTATCGGAAAACTACTGCTACCCCAACCCCGGGAGGCGAAACGCCTCTAACTTTCCCTTGGATCCGACAATGATTCCATTCAATATGCTTGAAGTGAGTCCATTTTTATAAAATTTGATGCACTTCTTGAGCGCTAAAGCAAGACAGTGCAAGAAAAGGGAAGTGCAATAAGAAACGACTGAATCTATGCACCATTTTCGTCTGAAATAGTGTTCCGTTTTACACTCTCCATCGAATCGCCGCCGTGTGGACGTCGGCTTGCCGAAAGACGAAAATGTCGCTCGCTAACAAGTGAAGCAAGTCCGTCACTTTCGACGGGTCCTAAAATTCTCATAAAATTTCTGGCATTAGGATAGCAGACAAATGAGGAAAATGAAGGTTGGCCAGGCTTCTATATTACTAAATTCAGAAGAACACTAACGACACTCGCAACATCAATAAAACTTCGGTCAAACTGCCCTTGACAACTGGTCACCTCTCACCTTACAGTATGCTGACAAATTTTTATAACTAGAAATTGCTATGACATGTCCGCCACGTCTGTCTTTGCGATTAGCTTAAAAAGTTGAAAAATCTTCTCCCAAACAATTATCTGCACAACGTATAAAATCAAAAAAAGATACTCACCGCGAACAGGTCCATGTGAGAAACGATTACGGTAGCGCGAGATATGGCCACTTTTGGCATCCTGAAAATGCAAAATGGTCCATTATTTACTAAATAAATGTTCGGACCCAACTGCAAATTGCTAAAAAAAAAACCTGGCACCATAGTTTTAGAGGAACAGCTGCTTAGTTTGTAGGAATACCGATATGTTCCGAGAGGGCCTGAGCTGGCCAAGCTCTGCGCAATGTATTTTGCTTTCAGCCCTTTTTGGTTAGTAATTGCTCCCTCGGTGTTTCTTAATGCGATGCGCCTGGGTATTGAAATTCGATCACGATAGCAGTTGCAGGAAAAAATGCGGAGATGCGAGGGCGAAAAGATAACTGCTGGATCCGCTGTTAAAGATAAGAAGAAGACGATCAGTCCAGCCGAAAAGTTGAAGGTTGCAGCGCCAAAAACAAAACAGATTTGCAAAGATCTCAGTTCCACCCTTTTAAACCCAAAAACTTGTCTACACTCAGTGTCAAAGATACCAAGCGGTAAACTTAAAAAAAGGACTTTTTTAATGTTGAAGACCGGTCATATGGATTCTGGAACAATTCCAAACTTTTGACTCCTCAGACAAAATCCTGCCAAAGTGCAGTGAAAATTTACAACATTATACCTCTCACAAAGCCCTTTGCTTCCTTTCCCGATTCCTTTATTTGTACCAATAAAACCAGACACAGACTTTAATAGAGCAGAAAATTTAAAAAAA